ATTTTAGAGAAACCAGCCTCATTAGATTAGATTTCCTTTGAACAGATTTTTGCAACTTATGAAAAAAGTATATGTAGTTCTCTGAAGAATTACAGACACCACTTTTATTGTGTACAAGTCTGCAGTCTGCGGGGCTGAGCACAATCCAGCTCACCCCTTAATCCAACAAAAAGAAAAACAAGTCCACTACCGTCAGGTCCGTTCCAGCTCAGAGCCGCCTTATAAAGGGTTTCTGAGACTGTAAATCTTTACAGGATCAGACAGCCTCAATAACTTTCTCCTGCAGAGCAGCTGGTGGGTTTGAACCATCAACCTTGTAGTTAGCAGTTCATTCCTTACTTGACAGTGCCACCAGGGTACCAAGAAAGAAAGGAGACTATAAATAAATGTAGATTAAGAAAGGAACAGAACTTTCAGAATTTCAGAAGTGATGGAGCTGACAACATGTGGCCTTGAATCCCATTACCGAGTTCCAGGGCACTGAGTTTCTGTATATATTGCTTTTCTGACTTTGTGATTCTAATTCTGACAAAAAGAATTGTGGGTCACAGACTGCCCTGTGATTGGTCTATTTTGCACACCTTGTAGGGAGGGACTGGTCAATTTACTGCAAATAGAGTGTGTACAAACACCCAGTAGAATGAGTGACCAGAGGGGGTTAATCACTTTGTAGTCCTGTTACCAGGGCCATGCCTTGAATTCATAAAGAGCTTGCATATTCATAACAGTGAGTCAAAAAGTATGGCCACGAGGGTTCCTGCATGGATTTCTTCCAAACAAAGTGTAGTCAAGCATGCCTCTGCAATCTGGATGGCTGCAGACGTTCTTCATTAGTATACTTGTTAGTCTTACTAGGGTGCCTTCAAGCAAAAGGATGCTCTTTGTACATGGAACAAAACAATTTGGGGACCCAAGGCTAATACCAAATTGTTAACAAATCTTAAATGGACATCTTCCCAAATAATTGAAACTTTCCAACAGGCTTATAGGAATGCTGCCCCTACGTAAAACAACAGTTTGGGGCTGGATCAAGTGTTGTAAGAAAGGTGGAGAAGACCTCCAACATGAGTCAGGAGAGGAAAGGCCAACAGTCTGGATGCATAAAGAAAGTGACTGAAGCCCAGAAACCAGTGGAAGCAGAGTGTGCAAGTTACCATTGATGCACCAGCTGCTGGAGTTGGGACCTCACGTGATTCAGCATTGTCCACGTTAAGTGAAAAACTTGGCCTCAGCAAGCTTGCATCTCAATGGATGCCACATGTGTTACATGGAGATCAGCTTGCACAAAGAACTGATCTCTCCATCAGTCGTTTAAGTGAGGTCGGAACTAATGGAGATGATTTTATGGAACTAATCCTAACCAGGGACAAGTCTTAAGTTTACCAGTATGACTCAGTGAACAAGGTTCAATCAAAAGAGTGGCTTCCGCCCACATGGAAGAAGCACACCAGCCTGTACGATCATGAGGTGTCAAAGAGATCAGGTGTCAAAGAACAAAAAAATCCTATCATTGTGAATGAGGGGGAGTGCGGAGTGGGGACCCAATGCCTATCTGCAGACAAATGGACATCCCTTTATAGAAGGGTCGCAGGGAGGAGACAAGCCAGTCAGGGTGCAGGGTAGCAACAATGAAACATACAACTTTCCTCTAGTTCTTAAATGCTTCCTCGCCCCCCCATCATGATGGCAATCCTACCTTGCAAATCTGGCTAGACCAGAGGATGTACATTAGTGCAGATAGGAACTAGAAACACAGGGAATCCAGGACAGATGAACCCCTCAGGGCCAGTGGTGAGAGTGGCAATACCAGGAGGGTGGAGGGAAGGTGGGGTAGAAAGGGAGAACCAATTACAAGGATCTATATATTAGCCCCTCCCTGGGGGATGAACAACAGAAAAGTTGGTGAAAGGAGACATCAGACAGTGTAAGACATGACAAAATAATAATAGTTTATAAATTATCAAGGGTTCATGAGGGAGGGAGAGAGGGAGGGTAGGGAAGGAGAGGAAAGATGAACTGATACCATGGGCTCAAATAGAAAGCAAATGTTTTGAGAATGATGAGGGTAACAAATGTACAAATATGCTTGACATGGATGGATGGATGGATGGATTGTGATGAGTTGTACGAGCCCCCAATAAAATGATTAAAAAAAAAAAAAGAGTGGCTTCCAAGGGGATCTGGCTGGCAGTTCACAGTGCCTCTGGGCACTTGTCAACAGAGCCAAAAGAGCTTTATAACATTTGCCCAAATAGGGCAATGGCCCTGGAAGGTGTAGCGGTAGACACAAGGCCCAGGGGCCAAGACAAGGACCTGCCAGAGGGCAGAGCAAAAAAAAAAATCTTAAATAAACCCAGTTGCAAAAAAAACAAAAACTGAGAACTATCTTTCTTGGTTGGGAGCTACCGTGATTGACAAGGTTGATCCTGATCTTAGTTGTAGCCTATTCAAAAAACTCACTTCCATCTAGTCAATAATGACTCACAGTGACCATATAGGACAGGGTCTGAGACTCTAATTCTTTATGGGAATAGAAAGCCCCATATTTCTACTGTGGAATGGCTGGTGGTTTCAGACTGCTGAACTTGGAGTTAGCAGGCTAATGTGTAACCTACTATACCACGAGGGTTCCTGACCATGTTATTTCCCTAACAACCTCATAGCAACCGTCATTATGGTCTGTGAGCTCAGTGTGGCCATTGTAGTGAACCAGTCGAGGCAAGCAGACAGGTAGAGGGTGTTGTGTGGGGAACAGCAAGTGCTCTCACTGCCATTGCATTTATTCTCACTGATAAGCACCCTATAGGGCTGAGTAGAACTGCCCTTTGGGGTTTCCAAGACTGAAAATTTTTACGAGACTAGAAAGCCACATCTTACTTCTTTGGAGAAGCTGGTGGTTTTGAACTGCTGGCCTTTTGATTAGCAGCCCAAGGTGTAACCCACTAAGCCACCAGGGCTCCTTCAGCAAGTGTTAAAATGGTGATGACATCAGCGTGGAGGTATGTCTGAGATTTGCCTCACAGACACCGGCATTTTGCTGATCCTGATTCTTATCCCTCCTTCTGAGTGAACAGACCCTCGTGCTAGATTGATTATAAAAGGGAATAATCTAGAACATTCCTTTTAATGATAAACTAGCCATAGTTGCTACCTGCCCCAACTATCATGCTTTTACCTGAATGGCAATAGACTTTGAGTTGAGACATTTTAGTATTTGTTACACTGTTTTTAAACACTCACACAATTTCATTTTATCTTCACCTAAATCTAGTGAGGAAAGCAAGGCAGGTATTACTACTACCCTGCTCTCTCTGACGAGGAAACCAAGACTCTGAAAACTGGAATAATTCCTTGTAGTAACGTTCTGTGACTTATTCCGGGTGATGTAATAAATTAGCGTCAGAGATAAGAGCAGACAGAGTCTCCTCCCACTTTCCTACCTGAGGCATAGATGAGTGAAATCCAAATGGGATAAGGCTTTAACCTTCTTAAAATGTTTATGGAGCATTTCGAACATGCAAGATAAGAGAGAATAGTACAGTGAACCTTTGTGTCCCTATTGTTCAGCCTTGATAAGGATTAACTTATTAGTTTCATCTAAATACCTGTGTAGCTTCTCTACTGCTTATATTATTTTGAGAGAACTCCCTAGCATCATATTTCATATTTATATATATTAGTGTATACGAATTCTTAAGTATTTACTTTTTTACATAATGATACCATTATAATCTCTAAGAATATTAATAACTTCTTAATATAATCAGTGTTTCATATTTCCACTTGTCTTACATAATATATATGTTTGACTTTTTCTTTTTCTTCAGCTTGTTTCTGTCAGAACTAGTTGATAGTTCTTGTTAACCCCCACTCCCAGCCAGACACACAAGCACATAGCTTTTTTTTTCCTCTCACCATCTTGCAATTTACTTGTTTGGATTTTTATTTCTTGACAAGCTTGTGGTGTTTTTCCTTCTGTCTTCTTGTATGTTAGCAGTCTTTGATGAATCCATTAATTCATTAGAGTTGTAACGATTCTGTCATCTTCTGTCAGCTGGACTATAATCCCTAAGGAGAACCAAAACGCAAACTCCACACCCAGCTGCCATCGCGTTAACTGTGACACATAGTTACCCTCTAGGCCAGGGTAGAACTGCCTCTGAGTTTTTGAGGCTGCAACTCTTTACAAGGGTAGAGAGCCTCATCTTTCAGACTAATAGTGACTCTCTTCCCAGCCCGTTTTAGTCCCACGGCCAGGTCCTTTCCTGATCACCCCTTCCTCCCTAGGGTCAGCTCGCCTCTTTCCCTCACCCCTAACCAACCACCGCTCTACGTTGTCTTGAGTATGATGATTACTATCATCATTATTTTTACTATTCAAACTGTCCTTTGATTTTTTTTTTTTAATTCATCTGTACAGAAAGAAAATGTTGGGATCTAGACTGGGCTTGTAGTTAACAAACAAATACTAATGTCTGAGAAAATGGAAACAGAAGCAATAAAGACACTTTTCCCATGATCTCAATTCCAGGGACATGAGGTCATTGTGTCTCAAAGCCTTTGCAGCCTGTGTATGGCTTGCGAAAGAGACCGAATAAATCAGGCACATGTATGAGAACAAAGTTCACATAGCAGCCATCCAGGAAAACTGCATGTGCTAATGGCGACGGAGATTAGCAACAAAGATATTCTCTACCCAGGTTTGTATCACGGCTGAATCCCACTCTGCCCCTCTGGACAGGAACAAGAACACGCCGCCCCAGAACACCCGCCAAGCGGAGAATTGCTCACTAGTGGATGACTCAGAAGTCAGCCCAGAGGTCACCCTGAATTTGAAAAGTTCCAGGTCGTGCTTGTGCCCTTCTTTCGGAAGGGAAGGAAGACAGTCATTGTGATATTGAGGGTTTTCCCCTCTCAACGGCAAGTCCTTTATTTGTAGCAACAGCAGCGGAGAAAGCATTCAGACAGGCATGAGTGAAACTCCCTGTATTTCTCTACAGGTGGTGACTTTCGATGCCAGGGGAGTAAGTGGTCATGTCAATCACATTGCTCTTCACGTGGCCATGAGGTATGATTCTCTGGGTGAGAGGTGGGCGAAGGTCTGTCCACTGCTGAGGGTATGAGGTTTCTAGAACACTTTCTTACTGATTATCTGGTCCCCATGAACTGTACTATTGAATTAGTAAAACTGTTGTTGGCTATATGTGCTCTCTGGGAGAAATGTATTTCAAGTCTTACTAGGGAATGTTTATCTCCTACATGGACTCTTCATCGATGTTATTTCCCTCATTGTTTTGGGCACAGATTAGGATTAGGATAAATTTTCAGCCCCTTGTCATACATATTAGGAACCCTGGTGGCACTGTGGGTTAGGCATGAGGCTGCTATCTGTAAGGTTGGCAGTTCAAATCCACCATCTACTCTGGGAGAGAAAGATGAGGCTTGCTGTTCCTGTACAGATTTACAGACTCAGAAACCCCGAGACAGAGTCTTTATGAATCAGAATAGACTTGATGATACTGGGGTTGTTTGGTTTGGTTTATAATACATGTACAAGATTTTCAAGGACATGTATGTACAAGGAGTCCTTGTGGCACAACAGTTAAGGGTTCAGCTGCTAACCAAAAGTTGGTGGTTAGAACCCACCCAGCAACTCTATAGGAGAAAGACCTGACCATCTGTTTCCATAAGGCTTACAGCCAAGAAAGCTCTATAGAATGGTACCACGCTGTCATATGGGGTTGCTATGAGTTGGAAATTGACCTAATGACACCCAACAACACAAGACTCTGCAAATTAATACCTCTCTTAGCTTCTTCTCTCCTACTTTGTGTATATATTTTATACACCGTCTCAAGTCTTTCTTTGGAGAAGGACATACGTACATAACATAATATATATTGATATACCCAAGATCTATTCAACTTATTGCCCATGCTACTTTGAAATGGCCGTACTGCCATCCCTACACTACTAGTTACTTCTGTGCCCTCCTTTCTCCCTTCCCTCTGAGTCTGCCTTCTATTCTTCCCCTTTTACCCTCTATCCACGCACTCCTGACCCCTGCTAGGCCCTCAGCCTCAGACGTCTTCTCTCACTGGGCGGCTTCTTTATCTTTCCTCCGACTCCCATAGATATTTCCATTTTGCTTAGCCTCATCCAAGTCTGCCCTCTTCATATTCGAAAACAGGGGCTTCTTCCAGTTCACTCTGTGCAGAAATGAAATGATCCCCCATCATTCCCAGCATGATTGGCAGCTTTACCTAGCAACTGAAATCCATCTGGGGGCCTAAAGTAGAAACGGGCCAGCAAATGCCATGGGAGAAGGGAAGGTTTCGCACTCAGAACTTCCTAGAGCCCTTGGTGAACATGCAGAGTCAGAATCAAGAGTGATTTACCCAGGAGCACAGAGCTCCCGAGACACAAAGCAGGACTAGAATTTGATGTCCTAGCTCCTTTCCTAGCACTCTGATGGCAGCTGACTGCCGCTCCAATAGCAAGTCAACTGTGTCAACTGTGTGACACGGAAATCTCATGGGCTCTGTGCATTTTAGTTTTGTCACGTGAGAATATTCACACCGAGTCTGCCAGGTCGTTTTGGAGAAATAAGATGATAACATTAAGTGTCTCACCCGTAAAATCTAAGAGTCACTCTGAGTCGAAATCAACTCCACAACAGTGAGCTTGAGAAAAGCAATAAAAAGCACATTCTTCCTTTCCTTTCCACATGCCATCTGGTCCTTTCTTATGTGCTCTCGTGGTGAGACATGGTGGCTTAGGCTTCATGTGCCAGTTCCCAGGAGCCTCTCTGCCAGGAGAACCAAAGCAAGCATGCACAGAACCAGAGGAAACACTTGCCAGCGAAGCAGCCACCCCCAAATTGGAGGCACATGTCCTGGAAGAGGCAACCCAAAGGCTGGAATTTTAACTTTCAGTTTTTGAATATAAAACGTCTCACATTATGAAACAATATTTTGAAATGCATGCGGAACATTATGACTTTTATGGACTATAATCATGAAATTATAAACTTCTCGTAAAAATAATCAACATAATCTATATTACTTGAAAAATTAGAAGAATTAGGGCTAAGAATTTCTTCATGTCTTTTTGTGTATCAGGAGACCACTTGAGTGATTTAGATGATGTTTTACATTTCACTGAGGTTTGATCATGATAAGTGCACAACTCCTTGCAAAACAATTCAAACAAATAGTAACTATTTGATGTAACCAAAATGCACTAAAATGCTAAATAAACAAAAAGAACATGAAGACCATCGAGTTTGATACATTCACTACTGATGTAAACAATAGACAAAGTAGTTAAAATATATCCGAGCTGATGGCATCTGAAGACAGCGTGTAGAAATCACGAGTTATTTTGTGATCCATCCGTAACAGATGGCGCACGAAACACGAATAAACTCGGGATCCGTCCGCAATGTGCTAAGCACCAGACCAATCTTCTGATTCAACTGAAGCCTCGTTGTGACCCTGAAGCCAGCAGAAATTTGAAGGGGACAAGGCTTGTCTCATGAGCTACTCCTTCCCTTGTGCCTTCTTGGGCCTGGCACCATTTACGAGCTCCCTGAGCTCATTCTATCAGCATGCCCGCTTCAGGCTGGGCCACCCTCAATTGCAGAGAAAGCCTTACAGTGATGACATATCACTCCTTTTCTACAGATTGTTTCAAATCCTCCTCAAGGGCCCCAGCTCCTCAACTGCACACATTCATGGTAGATGACCGTGTTCCGTTTATTCCCTCCTGCCCTCCCTTCGCCTTTCCCTCTAGACCAGCGGTTCTCAGCCTGTGAGTCGCAAACTCTTTGGGGGTCGAACGACCCTTTCACAGCGGTCACCCGATTCATAACAGTAGCAAAATGACAGTGATGAAGTAGCAGCGAAAATAACGTTATGGTTGGGGGCTCAGCACCACGTGAGTAACTGTATTAAAGGGTCGCGGCATTAGGCAGGTTGAGAACCACTGCTCTAGACGATCTTCCTTCGATTCCCCGTAGTCCACTGAAATTGTTCTCTGCAGTCACCAGAGACCTGGCTGCTGGATCCCTTGGGCTTATTTCAGCCCCGGTGAGGCTTGGACCTTTCTGTGGCATTTGACCCTGCCTGCCCCTCGTTAATGCAGCTTTGACTTCTATTGCCCTCCTCTCCTTGACCTCTCTGGTCACCCTTTGTCTCCTTGAACAAAGTCTTCACTCTGGCCTCTTCAGCTGTAGCCATGGTTCTGTGTACACAGTAACTTATACAAGCAAAACTACCTAGAAAAACCTACTAGGAAGTGCTGTCACGTTCTCTGTCTGCATCCCCCACCCACCCGACCCCCACCCCAGCAGTTCTCTGCAAGGCTGTCAGTGGTAACCACAAAGGAATAAGTTGATTTTTTTCCTCACTTGCATTCTTGTTCTTCTTTCCCTCTTCCAGGACCCTACACTCAGAAGGGAAGTTACCTAAAGGTAAGACCTGTCCCTTTTGCAAAAGGCTGGTTGGTGATTGCTATCCCTATAAGAAACAGAATGAGCCCGAGGTGAGGGGAAAGGCAGCTGGGCCCTGAGAAAACCCGTTTTCCCAAGTCTGTCAGTTCTTTAGTGACAAAGCAATACCGAACGCAGTTCCCGTCTCCATCACCTTCCCCTTAACCTTGAAGTGGCCAGAGCTAACTAAACCTCTAGCAGCCAACCTTCTCTTGCTGGGGGGACATAAAGGTAAGGGGTCACCAGTCAGGTCTTCTATGGTCCTTTCACCCTCCCACCTGCCAGAATGATGGGCAAAGAGCAGTTTTGGTTCCATGGCGTCATCTAGCAATTCCATAGCCACTACCTTGAGCCACAAGGACAGGGTAGGTACTCAGGGGAAAACCTCCCTGGAAACTAGACTCTTCTCTCCTTCCCTCCAACCAGGATGTTCTGTGCTCCTGCTTCAGACTGTGAATGTGGTACGCAAGTACATCTCCCTCCTTGATCTGCCCATCTCTTGGCTTCAGACCCCAAATGTCCTCTTTGTGCTTAGTAACAAAGAGGTAGCACAGGCCAAGGTAAGGATTATGAATTCCTGCACACCCTGACTTCAGAATTGTGCCTCAAATGTCTGGGCTCCTCAAGACTCTACCTCTGTGGGAAAGGGGAGGGAGACTCTACCTCTGCAGAGACCCAAAGGGCTTTTCACAGTGGTGTAGTCACTGTCCTTGAGGTTTAGAACTATGCCATTTATATGCTCTTTAAAAATTGTTATTAAAAGATCATTTTATTGGGGACTCATAACTCTTGTTGCAATCCATATGTCAATTGCATCAGGCATGTTTGCACATATGTTGCCTTCATTCTTTTCTAGATATTTACTTTCTATTGAGCCCTTGGTATCAGCTCCTCATTTTTCCCTCCCTCCCCCCAACCCCACCCTCATAACCCCTTGACAGATTATGAATTATTATTTATTTTCATATCTCGTGCTGACCACTGTCTCCCTTCCCCCATGTTTTCTGTTGTTCTTCCCCTGGGAGAGGGGTGTATGGTTATGTGTCAATCATTGCAATGGGTTTCCCATTTCTCCCCCACTTCCCCCTACCCTTCAGGTATCACTATTCCCACACCTGGATTCTGTGGGCTTATTTATATGCAAATCACTACAGTGTCCCACAGAACTCATGGATGTTTGAAGAAATGTCTCGTGGGTGGGTGCTGTTCAGTCCAAAGTCTGAAGGTCAGGCAGGGGATAAACCACATGTTGGGGCCAGAGGACACAATCCCCTCCTGGTTCTTGTCAGTGAGGAGCTCACAGCCCCTGCCTCTTTGTGGGCTCATTTTATACTCAGCAGGATAGCATTGCAGGCAGTCCTGCTCACAGTTACTCACAGGCAACCCTTCAGTATCTTCACTCACCTTCTTACCAGACCCACGCAGGGAAAGGTTTTTTGGGTGAAGTTCCATGGTGCAATCAGATTTTACCCAAATGTAATAATCTGTTCTCCACCTTTAGACTGTATCTTATTTGTGCATATATGACCAAGGGCCTTTGGCAAGATGTTGCCAGTAGCCATTGGCCTCCTACTACTCTTACTCAGCTAGGCTTTTCCCCAGGCCATTCCAAAAAAGTTTTCTTTCTCATCTCACCGATAGCATATAATTTCTTGAGTTCATTGAAAGTAATAATAACTAAGATAACCATTAAACAAAGAGTGTGGAGGACCACCAATTCATACCCTCCACTAAAGTCAGAGCTCAGCCTCATACCGTTCCTGTGTGTTAGCAGATACTGTCCTCCCAAATGGAGCCTCCGGCCAATGAAATCCAGAATTCTTATATGTCACATACAGGATGATGGCTGAAGTGGCTTATTAATTAATATTAATCGATACACACACACATGGACTATAGTTATGGATACTTCTTAGACCTTACCAAACACCTCACAGAATTGCTTTTCTGGGTTTAAAGTCTTAGGACCAGAATCTTTTGTGGTAACTCAGCCAATTGGCATAATATAGTTAATAAAATTTAGGTTCTATATCCTAATTCAGTTAGTAATGTCTAAGGTTTTAAAAGTCTGTGAGTCACTATCTCAGATACAATGATCAGTTTATTCTCCTTTGGAGTAATAGAGAAAGACAATCAATGATTTAGGGAAAACCTAGTCTACAAAACTAACAATCACCTACCCTGAGATCAGAAACAAATATATGGTGCTCCACTACCACTAACATTCATTTTTTAACCTGCTATTAACGTAACCAAACAGATAGATCCAGATGGAAAGGGAGAGGACTCTAAAGCAGAACTCAGATTCTTACAGCCACACTTCCTGGCCTGGCTGAGACTAGCAGAGTCCCTATGACTGTTGCCTTGGGAAGCTCCAGAAACCTTGAACCAAAACTACTTTGCCTGAGTAGCAGTTTGGTTTACAAAAGGGTATTACCAGTAAGCACTGCATGCCTTTGCAAAATCATCTATATGAGAGCAAATGGTCAACAGTTCATCTAAAGCACAGATAAAAGAGGGAGGAAACAAGGACGCCAGATAGCTATACACAAACTATCCAGGATTGATTTAATGAGGTTGGCGATACATTGTGGAACAGGTAACTGATGTCACTGAATAATTTGTGCAGTAATTAGTAATGGGAACCTAATTTGTTGTGTAAATTTTCACTGAAAACACTAGTAAATGTTAATTTTAAAATGATGATAAGTAGTGAAGTGAAGTTGTACAATGAGTTGAGTAGGGATAAGGGCAAAGTAAAAGGGTATCTTTATTGATTTTAAATAAAATCATTTTATTAGGGGCTCATACAACTCTTATCACAATCCATACATACATCAATTGTGTAAAGCGCATTTGTACACTCATTGCCCTCATCATTCTCAGAACATTTCCTCTCCACTTAAGCCCCCGGCATTAGGTCCGCATTTTTCCCCTCCCTCCACGCTCCCCCCTCCCTCATGAGCCCTTGATAATTTATAAATTATTATTTTGTCATATCTTTCCCTGTCCAACTTCTCCCTTCACCCACTTTTCTGTTGTCGGTCCCCCAGGGAGGGGGTCACATATAGCCCCAGGCTGTGTTCTGGAGCAATCTGAACCAGCAGCCGTAGCAGCTCAACCTGTGCTGCATTCCCTTCTTCCATCCCTTGGCCAATGTTTGGCTTCTTCTTAACAAGGATATGCTGCCCTGAACCCATCCCCACTCTGCTCCTTCACTACGATATAACCAGTAAAAGCATAGTTTTAAAGAATATTTCGTGAAAATGCTACAAGTACAATGTCATTGGGGGAAACAAAGAGAAAAGTATATATGCAATTTTGATATTTTTGTGATTCCCTTGGAAACTGGTTCGGGGGAAGCATAGAAAAATACAGTTTGTTAAAGAACTGAATTGAGATAAATATGTAATTGATACAAATGTCCAGGTCCTTGGATGAGTGCTAAATATCACTATAAAGTTAGAGCGTGAAGAAAGAAGGGACTTGGGCAGCTTGATGGGGAATGCTGTGGCTTGCTGATGGCTACAAGCAGATACAAGAGTCGTTTGGACTACAGAGTTCAATCCCTTCCCCAATGTTCTTAAAAGTAAACAGTTTGGTTTTTATCATGGTCTTTATGTATTTAACACTATCTTGTACGTTCTTACACCCATATTTTGTTTATTTCTGATAATAAATTTCATCTTTAAATTAAGTTATATTTTCCATTTAGACAATGTGTATAATATTTTGCTTGACTGGATTCTATTTAATATTTCTGCACCAATTCCTTTTATCATTAAAGCTTAATTATTACTGTGTGTTTACACCCTGATAATCACATAGGTTGTTATAGTGATCATGAGATTTTTGTGTGAGTTTGCAGAAGAGAGGAAGTTTTAATTATGGTATTTACAGAAATATAGGCAAGAGCTCTTTACAGATGTTATCTCTAGTTATATCAGTGAATATGACTTATTTTGTCTAAATGAAACTGAACTACACTAGATCTGAATAATAAAATATTACACATTTCCCCCACTAGCTGGAAAGGAGAGCCCATACCTGTGTGAACTGTGCTTCTTTTTCTCTTCCCCTCTTCTAACAGGGATTGTGCCTCATCAGCTTACCTAATTCAGAGGCGTTTGGCAATACAATTCTAGTGTGCTTCCCATAAAATATCCCGGTTTATGGTATGGGAAGTGGTAAAGCAAAGCAATTAAGAATGGAGGTGCTAGAGCCAAACATGACTCTGGGTTCACATCTCAGCTCTACTGCCAAACCACCAACTAACTGCTTGAAATCCATGTGTTATCTCATTCTTTTTATTTTTTTAAGCAATAATAATAATAGTACTTGGGTGACTAAGTACTATATAACAACAAGGGGTTGTTAAAATTGAGATAGGACATGTAAGTTGCTCTGCCGGTTTCCTGGCAGCCCACAGTGAGTAGTTCAGCTAGCCCTGTCATCACCTCCTGTTATCAGAGGGCCAGAATTAGGATGAAGGAAGAGAGAGCAGTGTTTGACGGCTAATCTAGAGAGGTTTGTGTGTTATCAGAATAAGGCTGATAACTCCATAGCTTAAAGGATTCTAGAGAGGAAGGATTTAAGATGAAGAGTGAATTAAAAGGAACAGACCCAGTTTTGATGCAAGTGTCCTTAATTGGTCCTTCTCTTTGATTCCTCTAGAGAGCCATGTCCTGCCACCGCAGCCAGCTCCTCTGGTTCCGCCACCTCTATATTTTCTTCTCCCGGTATATGAGAATCAACTCACTACACTTCTTCTGAAGGCTCGAAGCGATCTGAGCTCCAAGCACAAAGAGGAAAAGGACCAGGAATCCTGGGGATCTGCTTTTATCTCCCAGAGTAAAAGGAGAACACAGCCTAGCAGGCCCTCCCTGAGGGCTGCTCTGTTCAATCCTTATCTACTGGGAACTACACAGGCAGCAGACTGTCCAAACTACCTCTGGAAAAAAATAATAGCAACTCTGCTTGCTTGTCAAGATCTTGTGAAAAAAAAAAAATTATATAAATACCCAGTGTATGGCAGACACCTAGTACAGAGCCTGACACATTGTTAGCACTTAATAACCCACTGCCATTCAGACTCATAGCAACCCTGTCACTTAAGAGCAGCTTTGATTATAGATGAGTGGAGAAAGTGTCAGAAAACACTGTACAGCTGTGACTTAGTGTTGTTACAGTATTTGCAGAGGCTAGGGCTCATCCCCCACCACCTCCACCCACACACACATGTGTACACTGAATTAGTTATCCATAATTTTTTCTCTTGTAAAATTAATTATTCTATTGAGGCCTCTTACAGATGTTATAACAATCCATAATTTAATTGTATCAAGCACACTTGTACACATGTTGCCATCATCATTTCCAAAACATTTTCTTTCTACTGGAGCACTTAGTATCAGCTCCTCTTTTTGCCCCTTCCTTCCTCACCCTCCCACCCTTGTGAATCCTTAATCAATTATATATTATTACTGTTATGTTGAATCTTACACTGTCCTTTGTCACCCTTCACCCACATAATTCTTAATGCTTTATTGTGAAGTGGGTGAAGGTTTGCAGGGCAAATTCGTTTTCCATTCAACAGTCATATTTTCCATGTCACTGACTCCAGTCCTGACAATGTGCGACCACGTCTCCCGGGCCTCTTTGTGCTTCCCAGTCCATTCTTCATTCCTATCCCATCCTGCCTTCTTTTTCTTTTAATCATTTTGTTAAGGGCTCATACAATTCTTATCACAATCCATACATACATCAATTGTGTAGAGCGCATTTGTACATTCATTGCCCTCATCATTCTCAAAACATTTCCTCTCCACTTAAGTCCCCGGAATTAGGTCCTCATTTTTCCCCTCCCTCCCCGTTCCTCTCTCCCTTATGAGCCCTTGATAATTTATAAATTGTTATTTTGTCATATCTTGCCCTGTCCGACGTCTCCCCTCACCCACTTCCTGGCTGTCCGTCCCCCAGGGAGGAGGTCACATATAATTCCTTGTAATCGGTTCCCTCTTTCCTACCCACTCTCCCTCTACCCTCCCAGTATCGCCACTCACACCACTGGTCCCGTAGGGATCATCCGCCCTGCCTTCTGAACTCTCTCCTTCAGCACAGGACCATTGGATCTCAAATGGTCCATTCATCTAAGGAGTGCACACTTCTCTAAGTTACTGTTCACCTAATAGACCTCATTATTGTGTGGGTTTGATTCAGAATGGACTTGATGACTGTGGGTTTAGTTGTTTGTAATTATTGTTTGGCTGAAAATTGAGTCATGGGGTGAGTTCACCTCCAAGCCTAAAGTGTGCTCAGGGTCACAGTCTCGGAGGTCATCTGCCCATCTGACCAGCACCCCTGGTCTCCTTCATGGCTTGGAGTTCTGTTCCACATATTCTCCCAGTCATCTCAGGACCTTCTAATGCAGCGGTTCTCAACCTGTGGGTCGGGACCCCTTTGGGGGGGGTCGAATGACCCTTTCACAGGGACCGCCTGATTCATAACAGTAGCAAAATTACAGTTATAAAGTAGCAACAAAAATAATCTTATGGTTGGGGGGTCACCACAACATGAGGAACTGTATTAAAGGGTCGCGGCATTAAGAAGGTTGAGAACCACTGGTCTAGGGAAATGGTGGGACAGTGAACTTCAGTGGTGAGGAGCACAGGCTCTCTAACAAGGTAGGTGGATTTGAAGCCAGGTGCTTAAGCAAAGTGCTTAACCTTTCTCAGCCATATGTGGCCTACCTCCCCCTTTTCAGGGAAAAAAAAATTACTCAGTGCCCCTTGGCAATGAAAAACTTTTGCAGTATAGCCCATAATCCAGCATAAAATGTAGGTGTGAACTTTTGCAGCACCTCCCCCCAAATCATTCTAGAGCCCCCTCCCCCAGATACTAATTGGCCACTTTGGGAAACACTACTCCATCGCAACAGGTCAGAGACCTCCTTGTTGTCTCTAGCCCCCAGATGTGCTCCACTTCCCTAAGAATTATCTAGAAAGCTTCCTATGGGCTAAATGAGGCTGACAACGCTATTATACCCTGAAGATAGAATAAAAAATTTTAATGATTGTTATTTATCCACTTAAAATGTATCATTAGCTCTAAATGTTTTCTTTGTATAAAGTGTGGCCACTAACAGCCCATTAACAGGGTTAGAGTAAGACAAGATGACTCATACCCTGCTCCTGGGATCACCAGGCACTGACCCACCCTTCCTGGAAACCGTTTCTCAATATATGTATTAAGAGCTTTTAAAACTCACTAAAGGAAATACTTAAATATGCAAAAATACATATACAAAGATCACAGTAGTATCCTTCATAATAGAAAAATGGGGGAATCATTATATGAGGTCTTCAAAAAGTTCATGGGAAATGGCATTAAAAGATAATATATAAATTATATTTCTAAACATAAGCTTCAAGTTCAAGACACTTTTGTAAGCAATGATACCATTCCTAACAATATGAGGGTCCTGGGCATTTAACCATGTCAGTGCAGTCTTTTTCACATTATTAACTGAAGAGAAATAAGTTCCTCTGACCTCTCTTAAGATTAGGAAATAAAGACGTCAGAAGGAGCCATATCAGGACTGTACAGTGGATGCCTAGTGATTTCCCATCAAAACTCATAAAATTGCTCTGAGAGAAATGAACAGGAGCATTGTTGTTGGGGAGAATAAAGTCAACATGCAGGATTACTTGAGCATCCCAGAAAACTGCTGCCATGACCTCGTCTATTGGCCAGTCCACATTTACTTTCTCCTCGTGGTAGCCATTGCTTTGATTGTGCTGTGTTGTTAGGGTCGTACTGGTAAAGCCATGTTTCACCTCCTGTTACAGTTCTTCCAGGAAATGCTGTAGGATCTTGATCTACTTGTTAAAATTTTCCAGAAAAGTCTGCTCTTGTCTGCAGCTGATCTGGGCCCAACAGTTTAGCACCCATAGAACACAAGTTTTACTTAACTTTAATTTTTCAGTCAGACTTGTGTAAGCTGGACCAATTGAGTTGTCTCTGACATTGGTTATTATTTCTGCTGTTAATTGACACTCCTCTTCAATAAGATTGTCTCCTGGAAAATTGATGTGCACGGTCTACCACTGCATGCTTCATCTTCACCATCACCCCATCCCTTTCTGAAACAGTTATCCCTTCATCAACTGCTGATTTCTTTGAGGTACTGTCCCCATAAACTTTCCATGAAGCTTCAATGCTTTAACCATTCTCCCACCCATGCTTCAGCATAAGACAAATGTGATGCTTACTCTTGCTTCAACTTTCACAAAACTCATGTTCTTTTCATAATAGGGGCTGCTTTCAAACTGATACCTTTTCCTTCTTAATACGTCAAACTATATCTATTCAGACATGTTATGACAAGTCAGGGTTTATTTTGGTGCAATTTTTTTAAATCCATGCATAGTTTTTTTCCATAACACACATTTTCCTTGAGCTTTTTAAGGTGCCTCATACTAATGATTAAAATGATTAACATAGTGATTGAACTATGGAATGCTATGACATAGGTACTAACTCCCAAGTAATAATATATTAAAAGAAAAAAACCCAAAAACATAGTTCCAGGAATGGGTTTTGTGCTCACACTAAATCCTCGCTCCAGCTTAAAAAACAATTAGTTCTTACATGATAGCCCTGCTCGATACTTGCCCCCTGGGCGGGAACACAGAAGATATAGGTGCGTTAGCAAAAGGTGGCAAAGAAATTAGATGGTGCCCGCTATCAGATAAAATAGTGTCTGGGGTCTTAAAGGCTTGTCTCCAAAGAAGCAGCCATCTCGGTGAGATGTCAACTAAATCCACATGGAAGAAGCACACCATCATCAGTCACCGAAGGTTTGTAAATCATATAATCCGAAGTATCGGAGCCTAAATTGTGAGAATCCGGTTTGCAAAAGGCAAGGGATGCCAGGGGGAGCCCAAGATTAATTTGTGTGAACTACATGGGAAATAAGCCTCCGGTGAACTCCCTCTGTCTAAAATCGAGGGTGGAGGAAAGTGGTCACTAAGCAGAGGGCATTGGAGAGATGAGTACAGAAGATCAAAGGGATAAATCTGACGTGAACAGTTAAAACTTTGTCCGTTGATTCCCCCTCTGATGCATGCTGCACCTGATCTGGTTTTCACCATTTCCTGTCTTCTGGTTTTGTTTGAGTTCGTTCATAGTAGGGTGTCTCAGAGGGGTTAGGTCATTGGAGGTCACCCTCATGAAGCTGTGCTGTATGGTTTTCTGTTTGGTGTATGAAACCCAGGATTGATGAACCTATAGGGACAGCAAGGAGAATAAGGGTTTCTGGGCCTGGGGGTGTACTGGAGGGGGGTGGGGGTGTAAAAGGGAGATGATGTCAAGGAGTCCAGGAAGAAAAAGAATGTTTGGAAACTGATTGTGGTAGCAATTGTACAATTCTGCTTGACGTGATTGAACTATGGAATGGTATGATGTATGTATTAACTCCCAATTAATAAAAATTTTTAAATAACATATAGCCACATTTAAAACATGTTATAGTTTTGCTAGCATACGTTATATACAAAATATACAAATAATAAATTATACACACACACACACACAAACAGGTAAGACAGAAAATATTACTATGAAATTATAGAATCCTTTCTTAAACAAAACTATAAAAAATGTGAAGCTATTGTTTCTCAACATACCCTCCCTCTAAGACTACATATTTCCACAGCAGATGTTTCCATCCAACCTTACCACAAAGTTTTCTGTGCGGCTCAATTGACACCACATCAAAATGGCAGTTTGGGCATTCTCGAGGGATTCCGATCATTTCCTTTGAAATGTTCTTTGAGTTTGAGTAACAAAAAGAAGTCTGAAAGGGCAAGATCAGGACTTTAGGGTGGTTAGGGTGAAGTTTCCCAATGAAATTCTCATGGGACAGCTCTTACTACCATCAAAAAAAAGCAGGTGCATTGTCCTGATGGAACAAGTCCCTGGCCCCGCGTTGTGGCCTTCATAAACTCTAGAACGGTGAGTGCGGTCTGTGAGTTCCAAGTAGCAATTTCAACAAATTATTGAACCCAGTAGAGAGTGTCATGGAATGGACAGCTGATAGTACAATTTGTAGAAGTTAAAGAGAATAAATATCTAACCTCCACCTCGTAAGAATGTTGTACCGATGCTTATAATGTTTATTTTAATTGTCATTTTGTGAGGCGAGAGGGCCTCTGATGCCACCATGTCGTTGTTACAGGGGGATTTAAAATAAATTATTTTATTACATTTTTACTTACTGAATGTCTGGTGCCTGATTATGGTTGATACCACTTGAGGGCCGGCTCCCAACTACCCCTCTCCCCTCTCAACTAAGCAAGTCAAG